ACCGGAGTGTGAGAACCCTTTGTGATGGTTAGATTAATGTATCTGAAATTCTAAAATGCTATATATGAAGGGAGGGAAACAGGCCCACGACGTAGGAAGTGGTGAAGGAAGTAGTCAAGACGAGCAGACCGGAGTGTGGGAAGCCTTAGTGACAGTTTTTTAATGTATCTGCAATTCTAAAAAAGCTATGGGAAGGGAGGGAAACAGGTCCACAACGAAGGAAGTGGTGAAGAAAGTAGTCAAGGCGAGCAGTCCCTTTGTGATAGTTAGATTAATGTATCTGCAATTCTTAAATGCTATGGGAAGGGAGGGAAAAAGGTCCACGACGAAGGAAGTGGTGAAGGAAGTAGTCAAGGCAAGCAGTCCGGAGTGTGGGAACCCCTTGTGACAGTTAGATTAATGTACCTGCAGTTAAAAAAAAAAAAACTATGGGAAGGGAGGGAAACAGGTCCACGACGAAGGAAGTGGTGAAGGAAGTAGTAAAGGCAAGCAGTCCGGAGTGTGAGAACCCTTTGTGATAGTTAGATTATAGTACAGTATACCCTCTCTAATCCGGCACTGCACCACTCCGGCACTCCAGTAATTCGGCGTCTTTTGACGGGAGGTCTTCCGCGATCGCGGCAAAATTCTGATTATCTCCCGCGGCCGTGTAGACATCATAATTCTCTCACGTGGTCATGAAAATGTCATCGTCGTCATGCGCGATCGCGGCAAATTCATGAACATCGCCAGCAGACGTATAGACGTTATCATCGCCTCCCGCGGTCACGGAAACGTCATCGTCGTCAAGCAAGATCGCGGCAAAATCACGAACATCGCCAGCGGAAGTATAGACGTTATCATCGCCTCCCGCGGTCACGGAAACGTCATCGTCGTCAAGCACGATCGCGGCAAAATCACGAACATCTCCCGCGGACGTATAGACGTTATCATCGCCTCCCGCGGTCACGGAAACATCATCGTAGTCAAGCACGATCGCGGCAAAATCATGAACATCTCCCGCGGTCATGTAGACATTATTGTTGCCTTCCAAGGCCGCAGCAAAAATTTTATCATCTCTCGCAGCCGTGTAAACTTCATTGTCTACTCCCGCGGTCACGGAAACGTCATCGTCGTTTTGCGCGATAGCGGCAAAATCACGAACATCTCCCGTGGACGTATAGACGTTATCATCGCCTCCCGCGGTCACGGAAACGTCATCGTCGCCAAGCACGATCGCGGCAAAATCACGAACATCGCCAGCGGACGTATAGACGTTATCATCGCCTCCCGCGGTCACGGAAACGTCATCGTCGTCAAGCACGATCGCGGCAAAATCACGAACATCTCCCGCGGACGTATAGACGTTATCATCGCCTCCTGCGGTCACGGAAACATCATTGTCGTCAAGCACGATCGTGGCAAAATCATGAACATTGCGACGCTACTTTCTGCACTGGAAAAAAAATATTAAAAGTGCAGTCGCAACCGTTTGCCGGGGATAGCTCAGCCTACAATGGCTGGGTAAAGTTCCAGGGTCTGGGATAAGGTCAGGGAAACCACTAGGCCAATAGCCGGGTCTAACCGGTATAGGACTGGCTCATACACGGGCACTGTGAACAAGTCAAAAACAAGTCACCAAAACAAACGTGCAATAATCACTACCAGGCCTACGCCGATTCTCCACACTCCTAGGGGGTCATTGCTGACTACGCAACTCGGGCTTCGTCCTAACTATCCAATAGTTAAGCCCAGAGTGCCTAAAACACGGTGAGTTACACGACGACTTGCCGATAAAAACCGCAACGCGAGTTATCACCAGGCGGGGTCTACTAGGCCACTATAATCCAATACACAACTCTAATGCCCAAGCTAACAATCAAACAGTTCACTCAATAATAATACCAGATAACAATACAAGTGCACTGTAGGTAGAGTGACTACACCACTAGTAGCTGGTCTCAATAAATACCAAGCCAAACAAGCAAAGCTAAATTCCAATTGCACTACTATTAAATTATTGAGCTACTTAGTAGCAGATAAATAAATATTAAATACGTTCCAAACACTAGATAAATATATTATCTGATAGCCGGTACTCCGCTATCCAAGCTACCAAGATAACGTGTTGGATTACCAAACAAGCTGTTCAGGATAAATTAAAATAATCAAATGAATAAACAATAACAACCCTACTACTGCTACTGCTACTACCAACTTTATGTTACTTAGCTGGGCTTCTGTTAATAGGCTAATAATATTAGCTACTAGCCTACTGGCCACGTGCTTCCAACTACGCACGCTAAATCGTGCAGCCTAGGTTTGTCGGGCCTCAGAGTTATTAGTAATATAACTAACTCTTGGTACAACGCAAAATAATAACTACTACAGTCAATCAATTATATTATTTGCGCTCTAGCACCTGCCCAGAACCGTCAGGAATACACTTTAATATTATTCCTGACTAATATAAATCCTAACTACCGTCAGGCTTTGACCAGCACGGTTACAACTCTAACCCTCGCAATAAAATCAGATAATAATATTATCAAACTAATAATATCGGCTCCTTAACCAAAATCAAAAGAATGTCGTCCACTCACCAGTAGTGGGTCTTAATACCCAACTTAACACCGACACTCACTGTCCACCAGTCTCACTAGTCACACCACCACTCGTGTACACGCCACTCGTCTCCACAGGACACCAACACTAGTCTCCTCACTCTACGAGATCCACCACTAGAATGTCCCTGTCCTAGACTGTGTTGAAGTTCCAGGATATCCCAGGCTTATCCGAACTGATAAGCCGGGTCAAAGGGCGCTAGCTAGGTTCGCCGCCGCCGCTTGCTTACCTCTACAATCGGTACGCGGCCAAATAGCAAATATTTACCCCTAGGAAAAATAACTCGTTACAACATCTCCCGCGGTTATGTAGACATTATTGTTGCCTTCCACGGCCGCAGCAAAAATTTTATCATCTCCTGCGCCCGTGTAAACATCATTGTCTACTCCCGCAGTCCCAGAAATGTCATCGTCATGAACATCTCCCGCGGTCACGAAAACGTCATGCTCGATGGCGGCAATTTTACGATTATCTCCCGCGGACGTGTAGACGTTATCATCGCCTCCCTCGAATACGTAATTGTCATGCCCGATCGCGGCAATAGCGGTTTCCGATCACGCGAACTTCGGAGACGTGTTTTAATTGCATTTTAAGTGTTTTTAATGATAACATTCCAGTAATCCGGCATTTTCACTAATCCGGCAGTATGGCGGTCCTATATCTGCCGGATTACTGAGATCCTGTCTACTGTATCTGCAATTAAAAAAAAAACTATAGGAAGGGAGGGAAACAGGTCCACGACGAAGGAAGTGGTGAAGGAAGTAGTAAAGGCGAGCAGTCCGGAGTGTGAGAACCCTTTGTGATAGTTAGATTAATGTATCTGCAATTCTAAAAGGCTATGGGAAGGGAGGGAAACAGGTCCACGACAAAGGAAGTGGTGAAGGAAGTAGTTAAGGCAAGCAGTCCGGAGTGTGGGAACCCTTTGTGACAGATAGAATAATGTGTCTGCAATCTATGAGAAGGGAGGGAAACAGGACTACGACGTAGGAAGTGATGAAGGAAGTAGTCGAGACGAGCAGTCCGGAGTGTCGGAACCCTTTGTGACAGTTAGTTAGATTAATGTATCTGCAATACTAATATGCTATAGGAAGGGAGGGAAACATGTCCAAGACGTGGAAGGTCGTGAAGGAAGTAGTTAAGGCGAGCAGTGCGGTGTGTGGGAACCGTTGGTGGCAGTTAGATTAATGCATCTGCAACCAATGACTTTGGTTTATTAATGAACGAGAAGTTAGGATTGTTGTCGACTGAGATTTGGTTGATTTGCCTATACAAATTACATTGTGTTCTGTTCACCAATGACACCGGTAAGTAGGCTAGGTGCGGGTGTACTCTTCCATTGTTGCGCTCATGTTCACTCATCCCGTTACGCGCAGAATAAGCGTACTACTAGTATATTTACATATGGGATTACAAAAATTTTTCATTATTTTAGTACAGTTAAATATAATAATTTGAAATCAATCAATCACTTTAACCACTTATATATTTTTTTTGGTCTCTTATTACCCCTTATGTCTCTTACTACCCCGACTTCCCTTAGTTCATAATATTGAAATGTTACTGAATGACATTTACATTTTGCTATTTGATGACTGAGATGTATGATTGTAACAAATTGTATCTGTTTAGAGAATAAATGACTACGACTATAGGTACCCGGTAAATGAAATGGTGTGGAATAATGTTTGTTGTACCAGAATGAAGTAACAACAGGCAGTAGTTGTCTAAAATCACCAAACATCACTATACGGGAATCCCCCTTAACATTGATCTTGGGTCTTATATATCTAAACCGCAGCTATCGATGATGTTTAACACATGTACTGGGCACATATTAAGTTCATCTGTAACTAATAATGAACATTTTTTGACAGTTTGTTTCATCACTGTTCACTGGTATACCAGATACAGAAGAGTTATTCACTGGGATGCCTTTTATTTGATCACTCTCCTGTCTCCTCTTTTCTTGTTTTGGCCCACACACTTTTTATAATCATTCAGGAATTAATTCTTCCAAACATTTGACAGTGTAAACATGAAAGTAACGTGATTCTATTAAAGCCTTGTAACTAATTCTTGTGAGAATGCAACTTGTTTACTCTAGTTCATCATAAGTATTTTTTAATAGTAGTTTACACAACGATCACATAAAGGTAGGCTTTACGACAAAAGCCATGAAAACTTCTACGAGTGTCGTAAGTTAAAGGATAACTCTGCGAGTTTCTTTACTTTACCTACAACCGTATTTCACTAGAACTGACATTTTCATAATCTTTCAGTAAAACTTCCCTTAACTGTTGGTTAGCAAATAGTTTGGTTCAACTTAGGTGTGTTCACAACATAACCCATTCCAAATGAATTATGTATAGGCCTATAGTATTAAAATATGATTACAGCCAGAAGATGAATGGAAAGAAATGCAGCAACGCTTTAGAAAGGAAGGACTTGATTTTGAAGCCCTGAAAGCAGAAGATCGTCTATTGCAAGTGTGGAGATGGCTGGTAGATGCAGAAAGTAACCTGAAGAACTCAAGGCGGATGTTGGACAAATTACATGAACAGCAGAATGAAGAAATTGAAGTAATTATAAATAAGCAGTATTTTTTAATCACAAACCAAGTGTCTAATTTTAATTGTTATCAATATCTGCCCAAAGATATAGGCCAGTCAAATAAAACAGATCTAGTATGAAGATAACTGTTTTTTTTTTCATTTTAACTCTATAGACATTAAAGAAATATCTTGCAATCTCAGAGTTGCAGATTCCATAAAAACTATGCAAGTCATTTTAGATTCACAATATTCAGTGTCATTTACAAGAATGTATACATGATTTGATAATTATAGGAGATGGAAAGCTACATGGGACACATCAGAGACATGGCCGTCAAGAGAGCCGACAGCCTTCAGTTTGAGACAGTAGAGTTACGAACTCAAATAGACAATATTTTAAAGCTGATAGCTAATGCTAAGTTGCCTCCTGGATCGTTGGATCATCAGGTATTTATAGTCATTTACATAAATAGCATACCCCTGGATTTTCAACAGATGCAGTTTTTCTTTCATAAGACCTATTAAAAAAAAATATATATATATCAGTGCTTCTAGAGTGTTCAAATTACCATGTCACACAGTACCATCACAGCAAATTGGTGATTTGCTAGATATGTACCCTGGTCCCAGGATTCATTGTTCAACCAAAAGACATGCCCCACAACATCGCCTTGTGGATTTGTCATGTCCCATCTTCATATCCTAGGGCACATCATTATCACTTAAATCAATCCAGTGGTGATATGGCGGGATTTGAATCTTGAATATTGAACCCCGTTTGAAACCTCGGGAACTGGAATCACTTCCTCTACCCCTAGACCAGCTCAATCCCCAATTACCTTACCCCCTGAGGACTGAGCAAATTATTTATTGCTTAATTGACTATTATCAGGATTAAAAGGGGAAAATTAATATTTTGTGTCATGGACATCCTTGGTAGTGCTTTAAAATTCCATGTTCAAACTATTAGTGTTAGATGAGATTTACGAAGAACTATGTTATGATGGTAGGTACTCAGACGTTAAATATCCATACAATTTTTACTGTCAAAAGGTTTTACTAGAGTGGTTATAATATACATGTTTGCTAAAATTTACAGTGCATTACCGGTAGGTGTTTTTACCACAGTTAAGCTAGAGCTACACTTGTCGGTTTCAGTCCGGCCGTCATTTTTGAGGGGTGGCTATTTGGAAGGACACACACGTTCTATGATTCCACTCCTCCACGAGGAAACCATGTGATGTCGGAAATAGCCGAGCACTCACAGAACCCCCTGATCCTCATCCGAATTTCAGAAGTAGGTGGCTACACTTGTCAGATCCACTCTGGTCCGCCCCGATCGCCTCCGCCAAAATGCGGATGAATGCTCCCTGGAGGAGTGTTCCAGGCTGAATCGGTTCAGAGCGGACAAGTGTAGCCGCCTTCATTTAAAAACATGGGAGGCATTGTTTCACATTTTGGAGGACTGAACTGAATCCGACAAGTGTGGCCACTGCTTTACTGACCCTACATTTTCTATCAGGTTAACCAAAAATGTGCATATGTCACGGATAGCATATGTGCATATGTGTGCGGAAAGATGTTGGGTTTTAATTAGCTATTGTAGTCTAAATCACTTGGTTGGGACATTGGTATACTGTTGATACCGGTTCAATTAAATATTTTTCTTTCAATACCAACGGTTTTGATCTTGCCATCTAATCATGCGATACTTTATTGGTATCAAAAGGAAATATTCAGTATCGTATTGAAATAGAAGTTCTTCTCTAAAATGTATATACATATCATATCACTTTTTATTTATTATGAAAACAATTTAAAATTTATTTCTTTAAAATTGGATGTCTTTTGTGTGCGTAGAAATCAATCTCCTGATTGAGTTCCACACTTTTACTAGGTGAAGACCTTAGTCTTCATTGAAAAGCTGATTCTTATTTACTGCTTTTATTTGAATAGGTGTCTAATCTGATAACAGAAAAAAGTAGACTTGAAGAGGAGCTTGATATTCTGAAGAAGTTAAAAATTTCCTCTAATGGCAATGGGTCTAGTGGTGAAAGTGAATTGCTCAATGAAATTATTAAAGTTTCTTCTGAGAAGGAAGTTCTCAAGCGGCAACTGTCAGAAATGACGGATAGAGTGGACATTTTGGAGAAGGCGACAAAGCAAATAGAACTTGACAATGAGCGTTTGGCTTTCAAGGTAACTTAAATATTTTAATTTAATAGTATTTTAACTTTTTTACTCAATAACTTGCAAGGAGGTGTTTGATCATGGACAGTGTTTAACATTGTGTTACATTTGACGATGTTCTCTTTGATGATGTTTTAGTATGTTTAACACGTTTGCTACCGCAATAGTACAAAATTTGTCATTAAAATAGACCAGTGACGCACATATGTGACAGCCGGTTTCTACCCATAGACTCAAAATAGACTGACGACGCATATTTGCGTCGGTGTTCCAATGTTATCAAAATGCGGGATATTATATCTTTGTAACGGTCTATTTGAAGGCTCTGAATTCTCCGCAGTGGTCTACAGGGATGTGTGACGCACAACTGCGTCGCTTGGTCTGTGGATATGATGATTGGTGACGTCATATGATAGTTGGAAAACTGATATTTTCTTTTCTGCATCACTGTATGCATGTATGCAGTATGTATGCTGTATTATCCTATGTAGCTTTTATATTTGTTCAGTTATAAACTGATCTTGTATAATCCGTTTTTTTTTACTTACTTTCACCTCAAAACACAAACAAAAATGAACTGTCGCATGTATGCGACGTTTTGGCTAATTCAAGAAAAATATGATAATTTTCACTATTGTCTTTGTAGACTGGGCGTCGCAGGTATGCGACGCTACAAAAAGTTATCAAAAATATGAAAAAACAAGAATATTTTATTTACAAACACGATTGCAGTGTATTAAAAAGTAAATGGTCACTGTTTAACAGGTTTTCACCCGTGGTCTGCGTGTACTGTTAACCAAGTGACAGCCGGTCTATGTGTTCAGATTAAATTGTATACCTCGGTCCGTGTCAATGATCGCAGCGTCACATTTATGCGAACGTTTTAATCTATAGTTTCAATAATCCAAAATGGTTTCATTCAACCATTCAACTTAAAACAGAACTACATTTCCAAGAATTATTTACAGAACACAAAACAAAAAACATGGCATCACATTAAATACCTACTGAGAAGGAATTAACCAGCTATTTGATATAGGCCACACTAAAAGGAAATTATAAAGCTAATATACTACTACTTTCCCCTCTCCTTTATTTAATGTAGTCATCAAGATATGCAGGGATTTGTTGAACTCTAGAAGAGCAGCAAAATGTTTGCTCTTAATTGTTAACAGAGGGAGATCTGTAATATGTGTTTATGTAGATTACAGTACTAGTACTGTCTCTTGGACCAATTTCAGTGTCTTGCCAATGATTATTATATTCTTGACTGTTTCTCCTTTTTTGGGGTCAGATATTCTGAATCTGAAGGTATTGAATCTGAGTCTGCTTCGGGCGGCACTACAAGGTGGCGAGTTGATACAACATCTTCCTCCCCATCATTGTACTTGATGTGGGCATAATCTGGATTAGCTTCCACAAGTTGACCCTGTTCCACTATAGGTATCATAGTTGTTCGATTGATTGTTTTGGGGGAGTAAAATGTGAAATAATTACAAATTAGAGAGTTAGAAATAAGTAAAATTCGAAGGACCACCCGATTAGGTTGGGAACCATAGAGCTGGGAAACACCTTAATTAAATGAATGAATTAAAGAGAGTCACTCACCAATTTCCATTGTTATGTTAGGCTAGGGGAAGGCGTCGTGTCCAAGCTCGGGTGTTGCACAGAGGGATGAGTCACTAGGGATAGAAGGATCTTGATCTTGAATTAGTAGAGCGTTTACGCCAAAACGAATGTCTATCAAATAATTATCTTCTGTCGCGGTAGACCGTTAACGATACGTCAACATAGAAATGTCCTGAGAATCTGCTCACGAACGCGCACAAAGAAGTTCTAGAAGAGTAGAGCACAGATGGGGAGAGTAATTTAAAACAACACAAGGGACTATAAAACACTGACTTTGATTTAGAGTAATAAAAGGATTTTACTTAAAATCTGAATAACGATACATAAGAGAGAGTTACAAAGAGAGTTAAATTAATCCAAACGCCTATAAGAGAGAAGCGTGGACAAAGGGGAACACAGCAGTACGCTGTGCACGAGAACAAGAACTGAGACGAACAAGCACTGAGCTGAACTGAGCTTTCCTGTGGATACAGGTACGTTACAAGCGCTGGGAAATTCCGTTGCTGGCGGAAGTGACTCAGACTGGGCTTCGTCTATCTCTGTCTGCCTCACTCAGATAAAACTAGATTACATTACGAAAATATTAAAACTCAAAATATTGATTTGTTGGTAGAAATTCTTATAGCTAAAAATATTACTAATAAATATCTCTTATTGACTGAACATACCGGCCCCCTTGAAGCAACATTGGCTTCAACAAAACAACCACACTTGAAAAATCACAAACTTAGAGAAACTTAACTAAAATCAGGGGGGTGGGGTAGTCCATCAAGAGTTCAGCTAGTCGAGAGGGAGCGGGAACACTTTCACCGCAGGTCTCTTGAAGTGTCCAGAGGTAGTCTTGAGTTCAACCACTCGGACAATTCCGTCTTTGCCTGGATGAACAGCTGTGATTCTGGCAAGAGGCCATTGTAGGGTAGTTGAAGGGGAGTGAAAGAGCACCAAGTCCCCAACTTTAAGATTTTCCTGCTCCTTTGACCACTTTGATCATTGTTGGAGCATGTGGAGATATTCAATACTCCAACGTTTCCAGAGACGTTGTTGGAGAGATTGTACCAGGTGGTAGTGTTTTAGTCTATTGATGGGGTATTCTGCCAGATCAGACTCAGGAACTGAAGCTAAGGGAGCCCCGATCAAAAAATGTCCTGGTGTGAGAGCAGCTAGATCAGCAGGGTCACTAGAGAGAGGGGTGAGAGGTCTGGAATTCAACATTGCCTCCACTTGAGTGGCTAAGGTGATGAGTTCTGGTAGAGCGAGAATCGTGTCTCCCATAACACGTTTGAAGTGGTATTTAGCACTTTTGACTGCTGCCTCCCATAATCCACCTTGGTGTGGAGTAGCAGGGGGATTGAAGTGGAAGTTAATTCCTCGTTGTACTGCAAAACAGTTGATTTCTTGTTGGGCTGACAGTGAAGAGTTTGATTGATGATACTTCGAAGAGCAGCATCGGCTCCCACAAAGTTTGTACCACAGTCGGAATATATGTCCGTGCAAAGTCCTCGGCGGGATACAAATCGGGTGAGTGCGGCTAGAAAACCATTTGTGGTGAGGTCAGTTGCAACCTCGATGTGCACAGCCTTCGTCACCATGCACACAAAAATGCACAGGTATACTTTGATATGTTTGGAGAAACGGAGATTAAACACTTTAGCTGTAAGAGGTCCACAATAGTCTATTCCAACAGAGAGAAACGGACGGGCAGGAGTAACCCGTGAGAGAGGGAGATCACCCATTAAGGGAGTCTTGTTGCGTGGCTTAGTCTTGAAGCACTTTATGCACTTGAAGATGCGTGAACGTATGACAGTCCGTGCACTGAGGATCCAAACGCTTTCAGCCAATAGAGCTTGAGTTAGCTGTGGACCAGCGTGGAGATGAGTCACATGGTAGTGGTCGATAAGGAGGTTCACTATGTGGTGTTTCTTCGGTAGGAGTATCGGATGACGAGAGTCAAAAGGGAGGTTAGAGTTTTCTAGACGTCCGCCAACGCGGATAAGGCCGTCAGAATCAATGTAGGGTCTTAGACGTTGGAGTTGAGTAGAACAATCACGCTTATTTTTGAGTGAGGTCAGGTCATTAGAGAAAGCAGATTGTTGAACAAGTCCAAAGATCTTCCGTCAAGCAGCGTTGATCTCGGATGGGGAGAGATATCCCGTGAGGTTATTAGCACTGCGACAGTTGTGTATGAAGCGCAGAACTAGAGCGAAGATGCGCTGAAGTTTGTTCCATGACGAGAACTTTGTTAGAATATCCCAGTCCTTCTGCGGAACGGCAGCTAGGACGACTAGCGGAGTCTTCTTGAGTTCATCGGACGATGAGAGGTCCATAGGGACGAATTGCATTGAGGGCCATTCCTGTTGAGGGAGGCTGAGCCATGGTGGTCCAGTCCACCAGAGAGAGTGGTTCTTGAGCTGAGAGGCGGAAATACCTCGTGATGCACAATCAGCAGGGTTGTCATTTCCTGCGATATGACGCCATGAGTCAGGTGATACCAGTTCTTGAATCTGGGATACCCGGTTAGAGACATATGTCTTAAGCCTATAAGGCGGAGTTCGTAGCCATGTGAGGACTATTGTTGAGTCACACCATAAAAATGTTGTTTGAGGGGTGATTGTTTCCTTAAAGATTGACTGACAATGAGTTGTTAACTTAGCGAGCAGATGCGCTCCACAAAGCTCGAGTCGAGGAAGTGTTACTCGTTTCAGAGGAGCAACGCGAGTTTTTGCCATTATGGGACGAAAGATGACTTCACCTGTTGAAAGATGGCAGCGGAAATACAACACTGCACTATATCCACTTTCTGAAGCATCAGAGAATCCGTGTAGTTTCACAGCGCAAGAGAGTGAGAGCGGAAACGCTCGAGGAATCGACACGTGTACTATATGTTGCACATCAGTGACAAAGGAGTGCCATTTGTCGGCTAGTTCAGGGGGCAAGGGTTCATCCCAAGACAGACCTGTAGTCCAGAGGAGTTGCATGAAGCATTTGGTTTGCATTATGCAAGGGGAGAGAAACCCACAAGGGTCATATATCTTGGCTATTAAGCTCAAGACAGAGCGTTTGGTAGGGCGCTTGTCAGGTGGTATGTTGAGAGAGTATGTGAAACAATCTGTGGTGGGTGACCAATGTAAACCAAGAATAGAGAATTGTGGAGATTGAGATTCTTGCATAAACACAGGAGACTCTCGATGTTCTTCCGGCAAAGCTTGGAGTAAGGAAGTAGAGTTGGAGACCCACTTCCGGAGTTCGAAACCTCCCTGGCGAAGTAGGCGTATGAGCTGTTCCTGTAGTTCTAAGGCCGCTTCCTCAGTGTCCGCACCAGAGATGATGTCGTCTACATAGGTCTGGGTCCTCAGCACGTGCGCAGCGGAGGGGAAGTTACC